CGTGTGTCGCGGGTGTGGCGAGATTCACGACGTCGGCAAGTGCCCGATGGAAGAATTCTACAACCAGATCCGCCAATGGTTTGATCCAGCCAAGCACCGAGGGATGTTGCCGGAAGTGGCAGAGAAGATGTTAAACTAGGACGCTCGCCGGGTTTGAATCCGGTACGAGCCGAGCGTACGCTAATTTTGTGATTTGTGATTTAAGTATCGCAAAAATGTTTTCATAATTGTATTGGACTAAAAATTTGTTTTACGTTTTTAAATAGACTCAAAACTCCATTGGTTGCGGTCCTGCGTCAAGATACGCGCTGGTCATCGACGTTCACCACTGAATCTTGCTGTTCTCCCAATAGCATCACCGATCTGTTCCACCAACGAGTCACACCGTGCTCCCTTTGATATTGCAGATCCGTTCCGCCAGCGATTCGCACCGCTCTATCTCCGATACTGCAGAGCCGTTTCATCACCGATTCAACCAGAAATAATTCAAAAATATAAAACTAAAACACAAACACGTCACGCAGTGCACAGAGAACTCGCAAGTCCCTCGCGCTCTTCTCTTCTCCCGTCTCCCGAGCAGTCCCAGACCTCACTCATCCCAACAAGACTCTATCTCTTAGAACAATATCTCGGCGTTGTCCACGTCACCTGGTGTTTCGACGTGATTCCGGCAAACCCCCTTTTTCTGCGGTCTGCGTCCTCAAAAGAACGAATCAGCGTTCCGAATTCGGGTGTCAGAGCTGCTCGAGACAACCAGAACGTCTCGAACGTGGCCGTGAGCACCAAATACTGACCTCGCGTTTCTCCACCCGTTTGACCAGCACATCCACGATTGACGACGATACCCCCGAGAATGCAGTTTCCTCTCCACCCACATTCAAGGGCTCCTCAACGCTTGTTTGAGGAAGGTTTCCTTCTTGCAGCGGACGCTCCATCTTCGGAGGCGTTCTCTTCAGCTTCCTAAGGTATCTCATCAGCGAACGGCCTACTCCAACGACCACGGAAGCGCTTCAGCCGATTCACATTTACCGTGACGATCCTGTTGGGTGCGTGGTGGGGGTCGCGATCGTATAGGCGTTCTCCCCAGTTGAAAGCCTGGAGCCGAGGAGCTTGTGTAGTTGAATGCAAATTGCAAAGTGTGATTGTTTAGTATGTAAGCTGACCTGAGTCAGGCAGCCCTGGAGTAACAGGATATTCATCTAGCGACATCAACATCAGACTGGTGACGCTAGATTGGATACATGTGCCACTTGTACTGATCCGTGGAAATCTAACTCACCCCCCACAAGTAGCGCATGGTATCGCCGGTCAGTGCAGGGTGTCCACGAGTCCGCAAAGCGCTGAAACTGGGCTCGAGCAAGAGCTTGTGTGAGCAGATCAGCGGGCATGTCGCCAGTCGGTATGTACTCGACTGTAAGCTCACCTTTGTGAACTAGATCTTTGACTGCGTGATATTTCACGTCTATTGTCTTCTGCGTTTCGCTGGGGCCACTGCGTTGGAGGCGCTTTATTGCAGGCTGGCTGTCCATGAGAAGCTTCCGCGGAAGTTCCTTCTGCAACACCTCGTTTACAATCACTTGCACGATCAGCGCTTCTTCGACACCTGCATCCGCGGCCAAATATTCTGCAGCAGTGATCGACTTCGCTACGACGCTCTGCTTTTAGCTGGACCACGCGACGGGACACCCGAACAGATAGACTACACAGCCTGATACACTTTTCCGGTCAGTGCGGTCGTTGGCCCAATCGGCGTCGGTGGTAACAACAATATCGTCACTTGTCGGTTGAAGCATCAACTTCAAATCCCGGGTTGCACGCAAGTGTCGGAACAGGAACTTTACGGCGTCCCAAGCCATCTTCCGCGGAGTAGCCGCGTGTCTTGCCAGTTGCCCCACGGCAAACATGATATCAGGTCTGGAGACTCTTGCGAGGTAAAGCAATGCCCCTATCGCTTGTCGGTAGGGCATCTTCATCATCAGCTTTCGCTTTTCTGCTGTGGGTCCATCGTCCGTAAAATCCAATCGTGTATTAGCGATCATGGGCAAGTGAGCGGGTCTCGTTTCATCCATTGCAAATCTGTGGAGTACTTCGTCAACGTATGCTGCCTGGCTCAGTAGCACCATGTCGTCTGCAGCGCGGTCGATCTTCATGCCCAGGAACTGGTCCGCCACACCCATATCTTTGACTTGGTAACACTGGCTCAGCGCAGTCATTAGTTGCAGACACTCCTCCTCCTGTTTGTGTGCGACGAGAATGTCGTCCACATAACCACACACCAACAAAAGCGAGTCAGCAACGTAGGCAAAATAGAGACATGGGTCACCTTCTGTCGGCTTCAGTCCGGAGGCCACGAGGAAAGCATTGATCTCCTTGTTCCATTCACGTCCGGCTTGTCGTAACCCGTAGAGCGCTTTGCGAAGTCGCCACACCTTTCCCTGCTCACTTGTATCAGCGTAACCAGGCACGGGTTTCATGTAGATTTCTTCTGGTAGTATTGCTTTCACGTAAGCGGCGGGCACATCACCTTGGCGTGTGCGCATTTTAAAGTACACCACGATTACAAAAAAAACTCGAACTGTGACGAGACCTGCGACTGGAGCATATGTGTCGATGAAATGAAGAAGCCACTCTTGCTTATCACGACGGGCACACAATCTTGCTTAGAATCGTTCAACGTTTCCGTCCGCTCCTGTCTTTAAGCGAACCTGGAGGGTGTGGTCGAGTACACGGACGCCTGTCGGAGGTGTAACCCATTCGAAAGTCCCGTTGTCGAACAGTGCCTTCACTTCAGCATCGATGGCTTTCTCCCACTGTTGTCACTGCGGCGAACGCTTCGCTTCCGCGAGATTCAGTGGTTCTTTGATGACGTCGCCCAAAACTGCATGGGCTTCTGCTTGAATTATTGTGCGTCGTGCAATTCGCTGCGAACGCTGAGCTGCCGCCAGCTCTGACGGGAACGCGCCTTCGCGGTCATCCTGAGTTTGTTGCTCCTCATCTGTTCCGTCGTCCGAATCCGCATCATCGAGCTCATCGTTTTCTTCCGCTGATGGGTCCACTTCAAAAAGCATTCTGTCGATCACATTGACGTCTCTGGACGTGAATATCGACCTATTTGAGCCCTTCGTATAGACATAGAACCCTTTAATGTCTTCTGCACGCCCGATAAAAGCTCCCAATTGTCCCCTGGTATCGAGAAAACGTCCCTTCTTGCGCCGAAGTTGATCAGGAACTATAGCGACGACAGCTTGGCCAAATATCGGGAGATGTCCAGCATCAGGACGCTGTCCGAAGATGCGTTCGTATGGAGTAACTTTTGCACCGCATGCTGCAGGGCGTATTCCCACAACTTGTGGGGTAATCCCGAGTCCACAAGCATTGCTGCTGCAGTCTCAGTTACTGTGCGAATGCTTCTCTCAGCGACACCGTTTTGAAATGAGGTGTAGGGGGTCGTATGCTGTAACAATATACCTTGAGTTCGGGCAAGCTTCCTGAAAGCTTTGTTGATGAATTCAGTTCCACCATCGGCTCGAAAACCTTCAGGGATGTGACCGGAGCTTCAGCTTGTCTCTGAAGCATAGCAAGGAATCGTTTAACCATTCCAGTGGCCTCATGTTTTCGCTTCATCGCGTACGTTTGCACGAAGTCCCGCCAGACTGCCACCATGAAGTACCTGTACCCATTAGTGGAGGCGGCTATCGGTCCAGCGAGATCGACGTGGCAAATACCGTCCGCTACGTTGTCTGAGCTTGACCTTGTCTTCGGTACTGGCTGTCTGGATGCCTTGGTTAACGCACACACAGTGCACATTGCAGGCTTCGCCCCAGGAATAATACGTAGTCCGCGAACTGAGCCCTTTCCGGCCATTCCCTTTAGAGTCTCATAATTCAAGTGGCCTAAACGTCTGTGCCACATCTCGAGCGTCCTTCCAAGTGCCGCTGCGCTCAAACCGTGCGCTGTGCGCGTATTAATGCCTCCGGTATCGGTAGTCACAACTGAATATACACCGCCTTCGAGGCGTGCGATACAACATGTCCGGTTCCGTTGTCCTGAAAATATAGTGCAGCTGGGGGGGGGGGCAAAACTCACTGTGTGTCCATCGCGCCACAGAGCAGACACACATAGCAGTGTGTGTGGTAGTTCTGGTACAAAGTAGACGCCATTCACCACGAATTCGTTCTTGATCTCGCTTCCAGTATTGTCTTGAACGATGGCCTTGATGCGTAGCCGCCCTCTTGCTCGAGCGACTACGGTCCTACCGTCTGCTACTTGAATAGCCAGTGCCACATTTTTATCAGTCATTTCAAAACCATTTAGTTGGCTCGTCAGGTGATGTGACGCGCCCGAGTCGACTAAGATCGGGCCGCACCTGACGCCGAACCTTCAAGCCGAGTCCACATCCGAATCCTCAGTGGAGTCACCCACAGCATCTTCGGCTTTGGCCACGTTGCCTTGAGCTCGTGAGTCCACTGTTTCAGGTTTCTCTTCACTAAAGTGTTAACGATGATATTTGGCAGTATGCCCTTCTTCGCCGCAGATGAAGCAGACCACGCCTCCACGACGAGGTGCTTTAGTGGGTTTGCGCTTGCGCTCGACGATGGCCACGTTAGATTTAGCTCGAGGAGCCTTGGAGTGAAGCCTTGAACCCTTAAACAATGCCTCAGCCTGGTTTGCCTAGCGTTCCCTTTCAGAGCGCGTGAGCCGTCCGTTAATTTTCGTCGCTTGTAGTCGTTCCGCCGCCCGTCTGATTGTGACATCTCACTCAGGAACCGATCCGCATCATCAAAACCTCCGTGGGCGTACCGATCTTCCCACGAATATGTGCTTGTACGATGTCTTTCCTCTGTGGCCATGCCAATCGCAGAAATGTGCCTAGCGCATGGTGTGCATTGGAGGATTGGGTCACTCCACCTGTAACACCATCCGCCATTTGCACCAGTCTGTCGGCATACTCTTGATACGTTTCCGAAGCGCGTTTGCCCTCCGAGTAAATTCGGGCTGTTATCTCTTGATCCGTCAGATTCGGACGGAACTTGGCAACAAGAGCGTTTCCCGCTTCCTCAAATGTAGCGCTCGGAATAGCGACACGGTAAGTTTAAAGCGAGCGGCGCGCTGAATCCGTAAGAAAGATAGAAAGCACTGCCTTCTTGGCATTCTCTGACCATCTTGACCAGCCGATATCTGAGCGTCTTCGACTTGGTCTGCGAGCTGCTCCCACCAGTCTCGAACACCAGAGTCGTAGGCTCCAGGGGGAACTGCACCGGAGAAAGTCTCTGATTTCACGTTCCTCAGGTCGATCTTGTCTGTTCGCTTCTCCGTTCCTTCTTCACCTCCTCCTGCACCTATGTGCGCAGGGTTCGGCTCATCGTCCGGCTCGGGCGCACCTCCACCATTGTCTTGTGGAGCAGCCACCTGCGGCACTGCAGGATCGTCTTGCAGGGCCATGTTAGGTGGAAGAGCAACACCTTGGTCAGCCGGAGCGTTCGCATTCACTGCGAGGGCAGCTGCGTTGCGATTGGTCCGGCAAGTCGACATTTTAGCGTCGGCGGCTGTTAACCAGATGGAAGAGTGGAGTAGAGGAGCTTGTGTAGTTGAATGCAAATTGCAAAGTGTGATTGTTTAGCATGTAAGCTGACCTGAGTCAGGCAGCCCTGGAGTAACAGGATATTCATCTAGCGCCATCAACATCAGACTGGTGACGCTAGATTGGATACATGTGCCACTTGTACTGATCCGTGGAAATCCAACTTCCCCGACTTGGCCGACTACTCAGTACGGGTCGTGCCAGGAGAACGCCAGCTTCTTGGTTCGGCGTTCCCCAGCACGCGCTCGGAAGAACTGGTACACTCAAACGGCATCTCCTTCGTCGTAAGACACCGTCTCCTGTTTATCGAGCCGTTGTTCGTGCCGGTCCTGGGCTTTAAGTAATTGCCTTTCGACGAGGCGGCGTGAGTCGCGCAGCGAAAGATAGAGCTTCCTCCGATACACCGCGACTTCATTGCTCTTCCAGTCCTTACCCGTATTCAGAAAAGCCAAGTCAATCGGTAATACTGGGTCACGCCCATACAAGCTGACGAACGGCGTGTCTCCGAGTCCCTCGTGGTATGCCGTTCTATAGGCGAAGAGGACTCGAGGCAGGTACACGTCCCAACCAGTCTGTGTCTCGTTCACGAACATCCTTAACATCCACAATAGCGTTCCGTTGAATCGCTCTACGAGGCCCTGTGTCTGTGGGTGATAGGCAGCACCATACAGCTTCTTTATACCCAGCGTTTGGTATAGCGACTTGGCCAGGTCCGA